CTGTTTCACTGTGTGCGTCTGTTTCACTGTGTGCGTCTGTTTCACTGTGTGCGCCCCTCGTCTGCACTTGGAGACAATCGATCATTAACAGCTATTTATTACTTTACTCTAAGTAGAATCAAAAGTTTTCATGTAGAGTAACACCAGGACAAAAGAGACAGAGAAGCAGGACAGCACCGTCAGCCATGCTTTTTGACACTCACTAGCGCTCGACTCGTTTCAGTGACAAGCTCATTGTTAGTTAGTTAGTTAGTAGTTATGACGCTGCTTTCCTGTTAGTTTCCTCACGTTGTGTTAACTCTGCTGCTGACACGGTAAAGACAGAACTCCTGTGAACTGTTGGCTGATATCTGACATAAATACTGGGTGGGCGCACCCCTCACCCTGGTGGACATACTCACATGATAAAGTATATTGTTTCCCTCGCTCCCTCACTCTGAAGCACAGTAAGGCCTTTAAGAGGACCATTATACTTTTCTGTCTGTGCACACATACTGTACATATCTTATTAAGTATTTCTTTAACTGTACATGTGAGGAGATGTCCTCTGGCACACAGCCTAACCCTTCTTTCTGAGAGGTGTAGCCAATCAGAAGACGAATAGAGCCTGGTTTCAGGAAGTTGATGAGCTGAGGGGTTGCACACAAGTAGTATAAATAACACTTATTTTGCTTCTCTAGCAGGACCCACAGTAACATGCTTGTAAGACATGAACATAAAACGCAGCGATCTAATCCCCATCAACAGAAAAGCAAACGGACAAAACAAAAATGTCCACAGGGGGGTTAGGCTGTGGGGAAGGTGTGGTGTGGGTACCTGATTGAACTCTAGTGCATCCAGGAGATCGAAGAGCTTTCTGTTTTTCTCGTTATCCTTCAGCTTGACGTAGTACTGCTGCAGGCCATGCAGAGTCAGCTTGGTTTCATCATCTACAAAGATTTCCATCGGCTGGACCGGCCGGAGTTTGAAAGGGAGGCAAGATTCAGGGAAGAGCACAGAAAGAGAACAGCAAACATAAGACAGTGAAAAGGAAGCAGTGAGGAGACACACACACACAGGTGTGTTTTCATATCTCTGTGGGGACATCTTAGTGACATAATGCTTTCCTAGCCCCTTACGCTAACCATCGAAGATGAATGCCTGACCCTCAGCCTAAACCGAACCATGACCTAACCATGACCTAACTGTGACCGAACTGTGACCTCACACTAAAACAAGATTTTGAGCCTCGACAATCCCTTCTAATTTGTGGGGACGGGAACTTTGTCCTTATAAGAGCCGTTAGTCCCCACAAGTATAGTAAAACTCCACTTTTTGGTCCCCAGAAAGACAAGTAAACACACACACA